CCATCCCAAAGAACTGTCTCCCAGATATGTGCGCCACGCTTTGCTTCCTCCTTTGGTTGTAAATATCGGCGTGGGCGTGTATTTGGTGACCAGCTGAGGCCAGAGAAAGTCGAAGAGAGGTGTGGTCATTAGGATGAGGATGTACTTGGTCGTACTTGTAGACTCGATGAGACCTAGGTAGGCGTCAAACTCGTTGAGAGTGAAAAAACGACGTGGTGGAGTAATTTGAATCATTGCCTCATGGGCCAACTGCTTGAGTATTGCGAAATTTGACTGAACTTGGCTCCGGGGGAATTCTTCTTTCCTAGCTTCGCAGAGGAAACTGAGGTTAGGTCTTCAATACTAACACTATAAAATTCAATTTTCGCTTAAGAGATGGGACCCATACACATGTCATATTAACTGATTGGTATTGCATTACTGGCACAGACTCAAGGCTGTCACAACCCGCGCTGGACGCCCAAACTCCGTCTACTTTATGACCCCCTTGCATCAACATACGAGTGAATTAGCCGTGGAATCATACCTATATGTGAGGGTGATAGCTAAACACGAAAATAAATCTGACTCTGAAAGCATGCCTGATGGAGCAGCTACCGATTACTGTACGTCCTCATGGCTCTCGTCCGTGTAGCACCCTAACCTTCAATACGCAGACGTAATCCTAGATATTACAGCTTCAGCAACCCCACAACAGATTCGTGATGCATATAAACGGCACACACTCCTAGAGATAAATTTGCTTGAATGACCAGTCTAACAACGCTCCAGCGCAGCACTCAAAACCCACCCCGATCGTGTGCCTATAGGATCACCGGATCGTGCCAAACTTACTCATAAGTTCCAACTTGTAAATGATGCGTATTACACCCTCTCCGACCCAAAGCGACGCGGTGATTATGACTCTGCGCGTCGGTCTCATGGGTTCGGAGAAAGTACATCTTCACCTTCTAACCAAGACAATGACAACGTAGACCACGGCCAAAATGGATATTTTGGTTTTCCTTGGTCCAACTCTAGCTCGAAGTCAAGACCCCAGGAAGATAAAGCGAAATCACACAAAGAGCAATTTGGGGATGTATTTGAGGAGATGCTTAAAGAAGAGGGGTTGGCCGACCAGAATGGCCGTCCATCGAGTCGATTCTGGGGTGTGGTGGGGGGTATGAGCGGTGCAGCAATGGGCTTTATTGTCGCCAATGTACCTGGTCTCATCGCTGGCGCCGTTGCTGGAAACCGATTGGGCGCCGTGAGAGACTTAAAGGGAAAGAGTGTATATGACGGTGAGAAGAGATTTTCGAAAAGTTATGCCTCGAAAAAAATCAACTAATACTGATTCTAGTCTTTCAAGAGTTGCCTGCTGCCGATAAAACTAAGCTGTTAACTCAGCTGGCGCTTAAAGTTTTTAGTCACGGTGTAGGCTCATGCTGAGGAATTGCCAAACTTGATAGCGAAGCCAAGGATACGAAATCAGAGTTGATTGTTGAATTTTTAGATGTCTTATACCATTGTAGCTGGTAAATAAATCCTCACTGGGAACTTCGATCCTATTAATGATAACTCCAAATCGATTATTGACCTAAGATTAGAGCGTAATTCTTTCGGGAGCTGAGGTACGTTGATCTAATCGAAAGGGACATCTTTTTAATGCTGTCTTTAAATGAAACGACAACGATAATGGGGCACAATGAAAGTTAGTTCTTGGTGTGGTTTTTGTAGCATTGAGTCATTATCACGATAGTTCTTCAGAGTAACAAAGCTCTGCAAGCTATTGTTATGGATCTATTGGAATACACCTTGTTTTCTACCCCTATCTATCGTGTAATTTCTTGGTATATGATCAGATAGTGACCATAGGTCCTCTCAGTCTACAGGCCAGTGATATCTTTGCCGCGGGCAACAGAAACTTTTTTGTGCCTCCTTTATGCTCTTCTCCAATAGCGTAACCCTTCACAAGAATTCATTCGATTTCCTACCTGTTAAATACTGAGGGTCAAATGAAAAATGTAAAGTAAACTGGTATTGATGAAATCTCTGCTCCTCAACTCCTCTCCAGCAGTGATGCTATATACCAATCTGAAACTGTATCGAGGAGAGATTATCTTCTCCTCGTTTTCCAAAATTACATATGAAATATATTACATGTGTTGAAGATCAAAAGATCTCAAGTCAGAGCTTCGACTATCCTGAACATCCTGATCACCATATCCCTGGTGAGATATCAAAGCTTGAGTAAGATAATCCGAGATGTGTCATCCTAATATCCAATGATTCTGACTACCTTATTCAGTAGGTTCTAAGCTATCAGATGTTTGACACTACCTATGAATGTCAACGGGTCATTAAAATATTACCCCTTTAAATAATAAAGCGAAGACTTATTGTAGGCGTTAAAATCTGCATGAACCATATTTTTTTTGAATTATTTAATGTTTTCTCAGCTAACTAGCTATGATGCATTACCACTGCTATATTTACATGTTGGATGAAGAGGACGAAGGCTGAACACCTGTCAGTGGAGTTCTCTACGAACCTGGGGGGTGAAATATTCTCCCAGAGCCAAGATTCAGTCACGACAAAGGGTGAATTTGAGAGTTTTCGTCGAGTTGGCGATCGGGAGGAGTGGTGTCGGCTCATTTTTGGTCGAAAATCCGACTTGCAGAGATTTCACGACTGCACAACTCAACGAAATCAACCATCTACACCCCAGATACGAAACGCAGATAGGCTATAACCTGTCTGATGTTCGTATTACAACAACCGACTCCTTCAAGGTCTTATTTTCTATTTCTCTCGGAAATGATTTCCAGCCAAACTCATCTCGCGGTCCTCTCAACAATCATCTCACCACCTACCTATGCAATCCCATACCTCCAAAAGCCAAATCGCCAACTAAGAAGCAAGAGGGTTTCCGACCCTCCGCAACTGCCAGCCGCTGTGAAGGTACGGTCGAAACATCGGCCTTAGATGCGTCCTCATCTTGGCCAAAGGCACCAACAACTCGACCTACGACGAATCGCCACCGACGAAGTACGTGCGACATTTCGCCGGCACACTAACTAAAGCGTTCGACAAAGTTTGGGGCACCGGTACCACGGTCTTGTGCTCTCAGTCGCGTTTTCAACCTCCACGGTTAGGGGTACGGCAACGACGGGGCAAGTCCGGAGGGGTGGACATTCTACAACGTTTCCGGGATGACGAGATCGGCTGAAGGACAGAGGGATGCGGTATGAAGGAACTAAAAGGTATTACAAACCAAGGAGGCCTTGGTGGGCGACTGGATGAGGCCTCCAGTGAAGAAAACGACCCCTGGATGAGATGAGGAGATGCTGAGATGAGCCAAAGCTGCGAATGAATCGAAGGGAAAAGTTACAGATGGCGAAGGTGTCAAGGGCTCGGGCGCGTGGTGGCTGAGGCTGAGGACGAATTTGCGCTTCGGCGCGCCAAAAGCGGGTTCTCTGGACGGTTGGGCTTGACATGATTCAATACATGGGTGAAGTCTGAGGTGGTCCGGTCATTCAGGTGGGACCGAGGTAGATGTACTTAATGTTAGTTAACCTGATCCAGCTCGGCCCCACCCGTGCTTAAGTTCCAGTAGGAGTGCAATGGGAATCACTTTGTTTGTTTGTGTTTGTGTTTATTGTGCTACTTGAGTCTATGACTATCTAGCACATTGGGCTCCTCTCTGACCCAGGCCACACCTTGTACAGTGCTCCTATCCTCTTTTGTTACTTGAAAGATCATTGATATATTCCCCTTGAATAGCCATTCAGCTCAGTATTTGCCCGTGGAATTCAGCCACCTTTTCCACGGAACCTTCTACCCAAAAAAAATAAAAATGGTAGCAATGGAAACTGTGTGCGCGGGATAGAGTCTCAAAAACCTGCAGCGCCAGCCAGACGAGGCCTAGATACCGGGACCACATGAGGTGCGCATAATTATCTATATCTCCCTTCTTTGCAACAGTAGAGGTCGACTTGATCCAATCTGCTATCTCCGTATCAGGTGCTGGGTACGCTCCGGAAACTCTTATTTACGTGCTAGGTAAAGTGGTTCCCTTGGGGGACTATTCTCAACACCTGTCAGCGGTGTCCCCTACGAACCTCCAGCTCTCACTGTAGAGTCTGTAGAGCCGAGATTGAGTAACAAAGTCCTCACACCGACGAGGATTTCCAATCGCTTCCGCGGTCCATATCGTCTTCATCTCTCAATACATTCCCCTATCACCATTATCATGAAGCTAACCACGATCAGATCAGATGGTAGGGTCGGAGCTCTTCTCATCACCAAACCTTGACCACGGAGGAAAAGCCATCCGAAGAGTTTCCGGAGCGTATCCAGCACCTGATACGGAGATAGCAGATTGGATCAAGTCGACCTCTACTGTTGCAAAGAAGGGAGATATAGATAATTATGCGCACCTCATGTGGTCCCGGTATCTAGGCCTCGTCTGGCTGGGGCTGCAGGTTTTTGAGACTCTATCCCGCGCACGCAGTTTCGATTGCTGCCATTTTTATTTTTTGTGGATAGAAGGTTCGGTGGAAAAGGTGACTGAATTTCATGGATAAATACTGATATGAATGGCTATTTATCAAGGGCAACATAACGATCTTTCAACGCGAGAGGCAAGGAGCACTGTACAAGGTATAGACTAGGTCAGAGAGGAGCCCAATGTGTTAAATAGTTTATGACTCAAGTAGTACAACAAATTCACTCGCTCACTCTTAGAAGCCGAAAATTATCAATTATGCCTAATCCCAATCTTGTCGTGATTAAATGTAGACTCTGTGAATGATTACACTCCCAGGTCGCTAGACAACATCACTGATATACGCTGTGATTACGACATCCGCTCAAGTTGTTCAACATTTGCGAAAAAAATATGACGGCATTATTCTCCTGAAGCTAATATAGAATAGGGTAGATCTGCGTTCATCTCGCTAGAATCGTGGAAATGTGCTGCAACTTGACCCACGTCATGTTCGACATACAAGAATGTCACGATGAAATACTCAGGCCTTCAGAAAGAAGTGCTATCTTTGTACCGTAAATGTCTGCGGAAAAGTATGAAATTAGATAAGGTCAGTCAATATTAATTCTAGGTATTTATCATGAAGTTTAATGATCGAAGAATGTTAGGTCCCAAGTGAAATCTTATGCAAGGTTGGTCGGAATCTTTACAGACTCATGGTTCATAAAGAATTTGGAATACAAGCATGATAGAAAGCTGAGCTAATTGCATATTATTAGGTCCGAATTTGAAAGGAGTATAAAGTTAGACAAAAAAGATTTTGCAACAATAGAATATCTCTTGCGAAAAGGGCAGAGACGCCTGGATACTTTTTCAGCTTCGGGCACCAAGATAGTTTATATATAAGACTTCTTAGAATCTTGTTAGGCAAAAGGCACTAAGATGAGCTAAATGCCATTGACTAAGTCATGCGCCTACTTCTGCCTCTTATCAAGCTACGTGGCTTGATATCAAGATATACAACCCAAGTGTAATTTATTTTCATCCACGAAAATAACGGTTGAGCTTTTCCTACAATGACCAAGATTCAGTCGCTTTTGAATTTAATCGATTAATCATGATTTCGTCTCAAACGATCATTTGCTCCACAAGTTTCAACATACAAGCTTTCTTTAACCTAGATTATTAAAAACTACCGGCATATTCAATTTCATAATCAAATCAAAGAAACAATCTCCCATTTAGTCTTCTCAACGCTTGAACTTCGGCTTACATTATCTTAATATAATTCAGCAAAACTAACAAAATCATACAGGTTACATGAATTCCTCCGGCAAAATTTTTGTTAAATTTCGTGTCCTGAAAGATAAAATGAAGCTAGACACTCGTAGCAAGCTAAATATAATTACAAGCCAATGAATTATACATACCTGATTTTAAAACGAGCTTTTTTTCTCAATTTGGGTACTGTAAGTATGTCACATCGAGCATCTAGTAAGAGTTGCATCAGGCCTAGGGTCCCCTTTCCTCTTGGATACCTACCATTTATACTTTTAGTGGCATAAGAGGGTGCAAACTCAAGTATAATCGATACCTCACAAGGGCCCAATGCAGTCCAGCAATACAAATTTGACGCGAACACATGGGGCTCAATTCGTGTTTAAATAAAAGAAAGATAGAAGTATTCAACCCAAGCTGTTCACATGTCCTAAACACGAAGTTATGTTATGTATTTGATAGTCAAATAGCAGAGGAGAGGTTTGGAGACAAGCCAAATATCTGTCGATGTTACGATAAATGCTCTTCCTGACATCGAAAGAATTACACAGTGTGTTTTATATAATAGTTGAATAGAAGAACTCTAAGTGACAAAGGCGGTTGGAATACCACCGAGGTTGAAGAGATGGCGAGATTTTGTTAGGGTTACTATATAGGTTCCGACTAGCTTACAAGTATGGTACTGTAGTGGGCCTGTACTTTCTGAACGAGAAATAGGAAAATCATAAACATAATTAAAAGTATTGGGTCCAGATGGAATACCTAACAGAGTTCTAAAGCAATGTAGGAAAACCTTAAGTAAATTACTCACTATCCTTTTCAATGCTTGCCTCGCAATAGGCTATCATCCAAAAGGGTATAAAGAATCAACTACTATTGTTCTGAGGAAGCCTCAAAATCCCAGATACGATACTCCAAAGGCTTATAGACCAATTGCGCTCCTCAATACTATGGGTAAAATCCTCGAAAAATTGGTAGCAGGTCGCCTCTCCAAAGCAGCAGAACACCACAACCTCCTTCCCGACAAGCAGATGGGAGCTCGACCACAGAGATCTACAATATCTGCAGTCGAGCTACTAACAGAACAGATACACACAATCTGGGGCAAAGATAAAAAGAGGGTGGCATCTCTCCTCAGCTTGGATATATCTGGGGCCTTTGATAATGTGTCACACGAACGACTCATTCATAATCTCAGGGAAAAAGGAATTCCAAAGTGGATGAGCCTATACATAAAGTCCTTCCTCGAAGAAAGAACAACATCAATAATGTTGGGATCATTCAAAGGTGACCGAATGTCTACCAGCACCGGGATACCGCAAGGCTCAGCTCTCTCGCCAATACTCTTTCTCTTTTTTGTTAGCACACTTCTCCCGATGCTCGAGACAAGAACTACGACAGCAGTTGGATTCGTAGATGACACTAACATCCTGACATGGTCAAACTCGATCGAAGAAAATTGCCGAAAGTTGGAGGAAAAACATCAAGTATGTGAACAGTGAGCAAAAAGACATGGGGTCAGATTCGCGCCTGAAAAGTATCAGCTGATGCACTTCTCCCGAGCCAGAAAACGACACAACCTCAAAGCGACAATTGAAATCCAAGGCCATACCTCAGTCCCACAGCCTTCCCTTCGAGTTCTCGGAATCTACTTTGATCCCAAGCTGTGCTGGGGAGCTCACATCAAGAGCCTTCAACTGAGGGCAGAGATGCAGGTTCAGGGTCTCAGAAGGCTAGCTCAGTCAACGTGGGGAGCCACATTTCACAAGTCAAGGATACTCTACAGCACGATTGTGAGGCCGGCTCTAACATACGGGTCACCGGTTTGGGCTGAGGTCGGGTCGGGTGGAAAAATACCAGAGAGGATAGTAAGACCTCTCAGAAGCATACAGAGGAATTGTCTGAAAATTGTCACCGGGGCATACAAGTACACGAGCACGAGAGTGCTGGAACACGAAACAGCTACCCTTCCGATCGAAATATTCTTGAAGCAACGAAGGCTTCAATATTTAGGTCGCACAAAGGACTTACCTCTCCAGAAGACAATCCAGTCCGCCTGTAGTAAAATCAAGCTGCCCAGAAAAGGGAAAGAAGATATACGAACAGTTAACAGGAGGATAGATCTTGCCAACTGGACGGGAATGTGTGGTGAACAACAATCCAAAAAGACACATACAGAGATAGTGAAAGTTATGGCATACCAAGAGTGGGCGAAATCCTGGGCCAAGCAGACACAAACTCAGAAGCCTCGGCAGTTAGCAACTGCAGATTCCGAAACTTGGAGAGCAGCCACATTTTACCAAAGTAGAGAGTCTGGACGGCAAAAACTGAGTTTTCAAGGCTCACCATTCTTCCTACACCGTAACCTGACAAGGGCCCAAAGCAGTTTGGCAATGCAAATACGAAGTGAGCACATGGGGCTTAATTCGTATTTACACAGAAGAAACGTACCCGGAGTATTAAGTCCAGGTTGTCCGTGCGGCTACCAATCACAGAACCCAAAGCACATGATTATGTCCTGCCCCCAATGGTCAAATGGTAGAGCTGAGATCTGGAGACAAGCCAAAGATCGATCCTACGAAGCGATGTTAAATAATCCTCGAGATATAAAAAGGATAACACAGTGGATCCTAAAACATGGTTGGATAGAGCAATTCCAGATGATAAAAGCGGTCGAAATACTGCTGAGGGAAAGGAAAAGGTCAAATAATGCTGGGGGAGGATAGAGATGATCTGGTTGGTTTACATGGATGGCACTATAATGTAACTGCGCTTCCTGAAGAAAATATGTGAGAACTATAGACAACAAATAGAAAGGTGTGGGAGGTTTTCACCATAAAGGTTTCCTCCCGGGTAAATATTATAGACTGTAGACACCTGCATGGGCCCAAAGGGCGCCAAATCAGGATAATGAAATCAAATTCAAAATTCAAAGAAAGTATTGGCTTTTACTGAGTATTTTCCTAATGTCGGTAAATCACGGGCATTAGATGTGCAAGCACAGAAGGTTATCAATTTCAGAGGGGTTTCTTGATTCTCTATCTCAGCTACCTACCGAGACTTATCCTGTGTGGGTGCCATGGCCCTAGTACAATCAACACCCGTGCATGAGAGCCTATACCTTGGACTAATCAGAGGGATCTGAACACTACATCTACTTAACTGGAGATATGATTGTCTCCAAGTAACCACATATTCCAACAACTACCATGTGAGCAAGGGGGACTATTCTCAACACCTGTCAGTGGTGTCCCCTACGAACCTCCAGCTCTCACTGTAGAGTCTGTAGAGCCGAGATTGAGTAACAAAGTCCTCACTCTGACGAGGATTCTCAATCGCTTTCGCCGTCTGAATCGTCTTCATCTCTCAACACATTCCCCTATCACCATTATCATGAAGCTAACCACGATCAGATCAGATGGCAGGGTCGAAGCTCTTCTCATCACCAACCCTTGATCATGGAAGAGAAACCATCCGATGAGTTTCCGGAGCGTATCCAGCACCTGATACGGAGATAGCAGATTGGATCAAGTCGACCTCTACTGTTGCAAAGAAGGGAGATATAGATAATTATGCGCACCTCATGTGGTCCCGGTATCTAGGCCTCGTCTGGCTGGCGCTGCAGGTTTTTGAGACTCTATCCCGCGCACGCAGTTTCGATTTCTACCATTTTTTTTGTGGATAGAAGGTTCGATGGAAAAGGTGGCCGAATTCCACGGGTACACACTGAGCTGAATGGATATTCTTTTTTTTTTTGCATCAGATTTTAATTGCGTATGCAGCTATCTAGCTATGACACAATATCAAAGAAAAGTACAGAAAAAATGACTCAATTTACAAGAGGAGCACTCATGCCTCAGATTTCATTTGCAAGTACCACTGCGAAGTTATGGCGGCTTTTTCTTCACCCCAAGTCAACCCTCATCCGTGAATACCCACTCAGGGGAACATCTCAAAAACCCCGAGTTATCCAGACATGCCTGTTACGGGCTGTGCCCGGATTGGGACTGGTCACTAGGACCAACCCGGCTAGATCTTTAAGCGCCAACGAAGCAGCGCTTACAGAGACGCGAAAGGTTGCATAAGGATGATTGCAAGGTTGCGCATAAGGAAAGGACCCAAGGGAGTACGTACTAAGGGGGGTAGGATGTCACAGGAAAGAGGGTAGCCGGGGAGAATGGAGTATTCTCAGGTAGGCTAGGAGGGGAGCTTAAACGCGACGCTGAGGAGGACATAAAGGACAGGAGCCGTCGTAGGCAGATTAGCGTCCTAAGGAAAAATTATCAATTCCTATTGAGTTAACGTCTTTCAAGTACTTCTGAATTCTTTAAACCCTTTACAATGCCTCCGTCATCCATCAACTTTTCTCCGCGCGAAATATGATCTGAGATGTCTCCTTCCCAAGTGGAGTAGGTGCCCAGGCTACTCAGACTATTCCGGAGAACACCGCCAGGAGGCTGACCACAACACCTTCCATCGTTTGCTTGTGTTTATAGTGTCAGCTGCACTCTCGCAAGCGAAGTTTTGGCGCGCACAAAGCTCGATTCGTAAAACTCTTGCCAAAATTCAAAATTTCACGCCCGTCGAGAATGTATCCCTCTTTTGCATCATCTTGTAAACTTGTCCTG